TAAACAAATATTAACATTTTGACATCTTGTGTGATTTTATATTAACACAATGCCACAAGAGAGAATGTGGCTTTGTGACATCATGTGAAATGTCGGAATGCCACAATGCAAAATTCTACGATGTGGCATTGTGGCATTCTGACATTATGTGTAATCCTAGAATGTGGAATTAAGTCATCACACATGATGTCACAATGCCACATTCTAGAATTCCAAAGGGTTGCTGTTTTAGCAGAGGAACCATGTGACTATGATTCAAATATAAACAATTCCAGAAAAAGTTTTAAAATTATGACATCACACAAAATCACAATAGCCCAATGGCACATTCTAGAATGTAGCATTCTGACATCACATATTAACATCACATATTAGGTCATATTGCCAAAATGACATATGAGAGAATGTGGCTTTATGACATCATGTGTAATGTCAGAGTACCACATTGCAAGTTTCCTAGAATGTGGCTTTGTGGCATTGTGAAATAATCTGTCTTCCTGTTGAATGTAAAAATAAAATATGACATATGATGTCATAATGGCACATTCCAGAATTCAACCAGGTTGCTGTCCTTGCAGAGAAACCATGTGACTTTGATTAAAAAGTAAACATGTAAAGAATTCTAAACAAATATTTACATTTTGACATCTTGTGTGATTTTGTAATGCCACAGTGCCAAAAGAGAGAATGTGGCTTTGTGACATCATGTGTGATATCGGAATGCCACAATTAAAAATTCTACGATGTGGTATTGTGGCATTCTGACATCATGTGTAATCCTAGAATGTGGAATTAATTCATCACACATGATGTCACAATGCAACTTTCTAGAATGCCAACGGGTTGCTGTTTTAGCAGAGGAAACATTTGACGATGATTCAAATATAAACAATTCTAAAAAAAGTTTTAAAATTATGACATCACACAAAGTCACAATAGCACAATGGCACATTCCAGAATTAAACCAGGTTGCTGTCCTTGCAGAGAAGCTATGTGACTTTGATTCAAAAGTAAACATGTAAACAATTCTAAACAAATATTAACATTTTGACATCTTGTGTGATTTTATAATGCCACAAGAGAGAATGTGGCTTTGTGACATCATGTGTAATGTCGGAATGCCACAATGCAAAATTCTACGATGTGGTATTGTGGCATTCTGACATCATGTGTAATCTGAGAATGTGGAATTAAGACATCACACATGATGTCACAATGCCACATTCTAGAATGCCAACGGGTTGCTGTTTTAGCAGAGGAACCATGTGACTATGATTCAAATATAAACAATTCTAGAAAAAGTTTTAAAATTATGACATCACACAAAGTCACAATAGCACAATGGCACATTCTAGAATGTAGCATTCTGACATTACATATTAGGTCATATTGCCACAATGCCATATGAGAGAATGCGGCTTTATGACATCATGGGTAATGTCAGAGTACCACATTGCAGGTTTCCTAGAATGTGGCTTTGTGGCATTGTGACATAGAATAGAATAGAATAGAATAGAATATTCCTTTATTGATCCCCCATGGGGGACATTTTTTTGTCACAGCAGCATCACAGACAAGACAGAAAGTGCAAAATGCAGTTATAACAACAAGGGTCCTAATATTAAGAACTTAATAAATGTAATAATTAAGATAAAAAATTGAAAAAGAGAAAAGGGACAAGAAAAAATAAAGCTTTCTGCAATATACACAATTTAAATGCCATAAAAAAAAGTGGTGGTGTAAATCCAGTTTTGTTACTGTTCATTGTAAAGTCTTATTGCAGAGGGGAGGAATGATCTGCGGTAGCGCTCCGTCCTGCAGGGTGGGAGTCTCAGTCAGCTGCTGAAGGAGCTGCCTAAAGCCCCCACAGTCTGGTGCAGTGGGTGAGAGGGATTGTCCATGATGGATATAAGCTTTGTTAACATCCTCCTCTCACCCACCTCCTCCAGGGAGTCCAAAGAGCAGTCCAGGACAGAACCGGCCCTCCTGACCAGTCTATTCAGTCTCTTCCTGCCCCTCTCGGTGCTCCCTGCCCCCCAGCAGACCACTGCATAGAAAAGTGCAGATGCTACCACAGAGTCATAGAAAGTCCTGAGCAGAGTCCTGCACACTCCAAAGGACCTCAGTCTCCTCAGCAGGTGGAGACGACTCTGGCCCTTCTTGCACAGAATGTCTGTGTTTGTTGACCAGTCCAGTTTGTTGTTGAGGTGGACACCCAGGAATCTGTAGGACTCCACCATCTCGATGTCCAGACCCTGTATGTTCACTGGAACTGTTTGAGGTGTCCCCCTCCTGCGGAAATCCACAACCATCTCCTTTGTCTTACTGGCGTTGAGCTGGAGGTGGTTTGTGCCACACCAGTTGACAAAGTCAGTGATGACAGTCCTGTATTCCCGCTCATCCTCTGACAATACACATCCGACGATGGCTGTGTCATCAGAGAACTTCTGGAGGTGACAGCTCCCAGAGTTGTAGCTGAAGTCTGAGGTGTACAGGGTGAAGAGGAAGGGGGAGAGCACTGTCCCCTGTGGAGCCCCCGTGCTGCAGACCACCATGTCCGATACACAGTTCTGAAGCCTCACAAACTGTGGTCTGTCGGTGAGGTAGTCCACGGTCCATGCGGCTAGGTGACAGTCCACTCCCGCCCGCTCGAGCTTCCCCCTGAGCAGTGAAGGCTGGATGGTGTTGAACGCACTGGAGAAGTCAAAAAACATGACCCTCACAGTGCTGCCAGTGTTCTCCAGGTGAGCCATGGACCTCTGCAGCAGGTAGATGGCTGCGTCATCCACCCCGATGTTCGGCTGGTACGCAAACTGCAGAGGATCCAGATGAGAGCTCACCAGGGGGCGGAGGTTCCTCAGCACGATCCTCTCCAGAGTCTTCATCAGGTGAGAAGTGAGGGCCACAGGTCTGAAGTGGTTGGGCTCCCTAGGGTGCGCTGTCTTGGGGACAGGAATCACGCAGGAAGTCTTCCACAGTGTTGGGACCCTCTCCAGACTCAGGCTCAAGCTGAAGATGTGCAGTAGCACCTCACAGAGCTGGTCTGCACAGTCTTTCAGGAGTCTGGGGCTGATGCCGTCAGGACCCGTGGCTTTCCTTGGCTTCATCTTCCTCAGCTCACTTCTCACCTGGTCAGCTGTTATGGAGAGGCTGGGGGTGGTGCTGGAGGGGGTGGTGGAGGATGAGTGGAGGGGGTTGATGGTGTCGGTGCCATGGGACTGAGGTGGTGTGAATAAGAATAAGAAGAAGGAGGAGCAGCAGACGGGTCGTTGGTTAGATGAGTCGGGGGAGGAGTGGGAGTAGAGTCAAATCTATTGAAGAACAGATTCAGCTCGTTGGCCCACTCCCTGTCTCCTGCTTCAGATCCCCTCTCATGGCCCCTGCTATGACCTGAGATGGATTTTAGGCCTCTCCAGACCTCCCTTGCGTTGTTCTGTTGCAAAAGGTTTTCCATCTTGGTCTTGTAGCTGGCCTTTCCCTCTCTGATCTTCTTCTTCAACTCCTTCTGCACCCTCCTCAGCTCCTCCTTGTCCCCAGATTTAAAGACCCTCCTCTTCTCCTTCAGGAGGACTTTCAGTTCCGGGGTCACCCAGGGTTTGCTGTTGGAGAAACACCGTACTTTCCTGGTGGGTACGGTGTTCTCAACACAGAAGTTAATATAGTCCGTGATGCAGTCAGTCATGGTGTCGATGTCATCACCATGTGGGCCGCACAGTACATCCCAGTCTGTGGTCTCAAAACAGTCCTGCAGCGCCTCAGTGGCCTCCTCAGACCACCTCTTAACATACCTGATGGTGGGGGGTTGTTTCTTCACCATAGGTATGTAAATGGGCTGCAGTCTCACCAGGTTGTGATCTGAGTGGCCCAGCGGGGGGAGGGGGGAGGAGGTGTATGCATCCTTGGTGTTTGCATACAGTAAGTCCAGAGTTTCATTGTCTCTTGTTGGGCAGTTTACATACTGGCTGAAGGTAGGGAGAGTGGAGGACAGCGATGCATGATTAAAGTCTCCAGAGATGATGATCAGAGACTGAGGGTGTGATGTCTGTAGCTTGGACACTTCATTATGGAGGAGTTCACAGGCTGCAGCAGCCTCAGCCGAGGGGGGGATGTAAACAGTTAACGCGATGACGTGCGAAAATTCCCTCGGCAGGTAATAAGGCCGCAAACTCACAGCCAGCAGCTCAATGTCCTTAGAGCAGAGCTGCTCTTTAACACTGACGTGCCCAGCATTACACCATCTCTCATTCACATACACCGCTATCCCGCCTCCTTTCTTCTTACCACTCTCCCTCACGCTCCGGTCCGCTCTGACGAGGTGAAATCCGTCCAAAGTTACGAGCGGGTCCGGAGTGAGTTCGTTCAGCCATGACTCCGTGAACATCATGAGGCTACATTCCCTATACTCCCACTGCAGCCGAGTTAGCGCTGTGAGCTCTTCCATCTTGTTGGGGAGAGACCTCACGTTTCCCATGATGATGGACGGGACAGTTGGTTTGTAACGCCTCCGCTTTGCCCGATGCTGAACTCCAGCCCTGCATCCTCTCCTTCTCCTGCGGAGCTTAGCGGGGATGTCCGGTCTCTCCCACGAAGGTGGCCGGGCTTGGCGCAGCGCCAACAGCTGTTCACGGCTGTAAACAATGCGGCCGCTGAATGGGTCGCCGGTCGCGGACTTAAAAACTCAGAGAAAATAAAAGAAAACAAAGTGCTAGAGTCATGAACTGCACATCCATGGCTGGAATATGCAGACACGACACTGCTGAATGAAGAGAAAGATAAAAAGGTGCAAAAAACAACAATAAGAACGCAAAAACGTGAAGTCGTTGAGGAGCTGCTGTGACTTGCTGCCACTCTCAGGGCGCCCGAGTCACTGTTGAATGTAAAAATAAGATATAACACATGATGTCATAAAGGCACATTCCGGAATTCAACCAGGTTGCTGTCCTTGCAGAGAAACCATATGACTTTGATTCAAAAGTAAACATGTAAAAAATTCTAAACAAATATTAACATTGTTGCAGCTTGATCTAACACCAAACTGACGTGGTTTGATTGACTCCCGGGACACCTGGCTGACACGCCGATGGCTTACCGTAAGCTTTGTTCAAAAAAGGTAGTTTCGACTGGGATGCACGATAATCCATATTTATTTTGCAAACAGCGAATACATAATCTTTCTTCAATTCATACAGGATAACTCACAGCCGCCACCGCGTCGGTCAAAAACCGTTTGGCCCTTCCGGTATCAACAAACCAACAACAGGTGAAATCAATCAATGTTCCCTAAATACCTGTGGTCGTGCCACAGGACAGCGACACCCACTGACGCAATTGAGTACTTCACCAGGTGAATAAATGAACCGCTCTTACACAGTGAATGGCTCTTACACTCTGACCCTTAATTGTTATACAGACAGAGTTAACAATTACATCAACCAATAAACAAAGAGCCATTTAACATACATAACACTGTTATTACAGTGTAGCTGCATTCACTAGACAGAGTTTGGTAATCGGTCTTTCCACAACACTAGACTTTGTCTTCAGACGAACAGACAGTACAACTCCATGTTTATCAGGAAAGGTTTCTATCACTCGCCCGAGCAACCAAGAGCCTCTAGGGGCAGTCGAATCCATGACTATGACAATGTCCTCAGGTACAAGGCTTCTTTTTTCTCTGTTCCATTTTTGCCTTTCTTGCAGCAGAGGTAAATACTCTTGAACCCACCGCTTCCAAAACAGATTTGAAATGTATTGAACCTGCCTCCATCTCCGTTTTGTATAGAGGTCTCCTTTCTCGAACAGTCCAGGTGGTAATGCAGGCTTGCCTTTCAGAAGCAGAATATGATTCGGCGTAAGGGGTTCAAGATCATTGGGATCCTCCGACAGTTGAGCGATAGGCCGATCATTTAATATGGCCTCAACTTCACATAGAACTGTGTGAAGGCTGTCGTCATCCAACTGCTGCTGGTGCAACACAGATTTGAGAATGCGCCTTATTGATCGAATCATGCGCTCCCACGTTCCACCATAGTGAGATGCTCCAGGGGGGTTGAATTTCCAGTCCACTCCCGTTGTCCTGAGTACCCTTTGAATATGATCATGATCCAGTGCAGCGAGAGCCTCCTTTAGTTCTCTACTTGCTCCAACGAAATTGGTGCCATTGTCAGACAGCAGATGGGATACTTGGCCTCTTCTACTTATGAATCTCCTCAGTGCATTAATACACGCATCTGTGTCTAGAGAATTTGCAACCTCCAGGTGCACGGCTCTGCTTGCCAAACAGGTAAAAATCACTCCATAGCGTTTACACAGACTCCTTCCCCTCTTCACTTCGATTGGTCCAAAATAGTCAACGCCAGCACTTGTAAAAGGAGGGAGATCAGGTAAAATCCTTTCCAATGGCAGGTCCGCCATCTTTTGTTCACCTGCTTTTGCAGCATGGAGTCTGCACTTCCAGCAGTCATTTATAACTTTCCTCACTGCTGAAGGAGCCTTTGTGATCCAGTACTTCCTCCTTAATTTGGATAGAATGTGGTTCCTACCACTGTGACCAAGCTGCTGGTGGATATGCCTGAGGATAAGAGTTGAAATATGCTGGTCCTTTGCAAGGATGAAAGGATGCTTTACCTCTTCTGGCAGAGCTGCCTTACCAAGTCTTCCTCCAACTCTCAGCAGGCCGTCCTCCAGACGTGGGTCTAGTTTGTAGATAGGACTATCCTTCCTGACTTCCGACTTTCCAGATGAGAGTGCATCAATTTCTGCTTTAAACTGCTGCTGTTGAGTAAAGCGAACAATTGCGATTTCTGCCTCCATGAGGTCATCAGATGAAACGCTCTGACCCCCGAATGTGCTTCTGAATTTCCTCATTTCCACCTGCACATTTCTGGGTTGTTGGTCAGCATCAGAGGTCTGCAGCTGCTTTCTCTTTTGGCTTAACTTCAAGAGAGCCCCCTTTATCTTGAGAAACCAAGCAACTGTGACCTTGATCTTCCTCCAATCAGAGAAATAAGTAATTAACTGATCAGTAGCATTAGAGACGTCCTTAGCAACCACAGCGTTCACAGTAAAGTCTCTCTTAACCTCCGGATCATCTGCTGGTATGCCAATCTCCATGATGCTTTCTGGCCAATACTCTTCTGGTTTCCAAAGAAAGCTAGGCCCTTCAATCCACCTGCTGCCAGTCACAAGGTCATCAACTTTTCTGCCTCTAGATGCGTCATCTGCTGGATTATCCTTAGTGTTCACATACTTCCATTGTGACACGTCTGTAGCATCTCTGATGGCTGTCACCCTGTTTGCCACGAAAGTATGAAACCGCTTGTCTTCGTTCCTTATATACTTTAGCACAGAGGTGCTATCTGTCCAGAAAAATGAATTTTCCACCTGCAGCTGCAACTCTGCTTTCAACATTTTGTCCATCCGAACAGCGAGAACAGCAGCAGTAAGTTCTAGCCGTGGAATGGTGACAGGCTTTAGCGGTGTGACTCTTGCCTTGCCGAGCAGGAATGCTACATGGACCTCATGCCTGTTATTCTCCAGCCTCACATAGCTAACGGTACCATACCCTCCCTCACTTACATCAGAAAAGTGATGAAGCTGGACCAGTGTGGGCTGTCCAAACTCATTTGGCTTGATACACCGTTTGACCTTGAACTCTGACAACCTGCTTAGCTCTTCAAGCCACCTCGTCCACTGCTGCAGTATATCACAGGGTAAGTTTTCATCCCATCCAGATTTTCTCCTGCAAAGCTCCTGCAGCAAAACTTTGCCAAGCAAAGTGACAGGGGCAATAAAGCCCAAAGGGTCGTAGACTGAACTGAGCACTGACAGCATGCCACGCCTGGTATAAGGACCTTGTTTCCCCAACATCCTGAACTGGAAGACATCACTCTCGATGCACCACTGGAGACCAAGGGCTTTCTCCAAGGGAAGGCTGTCTCTGTCCAAGTCCAGCTCATTTATGTCCTTAGCTCGGTTTTCCTCTGAGACTGTCCGCAGGACCCTCCTACTGTTACTGACCCATTTTGTCAGATTGAATCCTCCTCTGTGACAGACAGCTGTAAGATCTCTGATCAACTGCACAGCTTCTTCCTCAGTGGCTGTGCTTTTCAAGCAGTCGTCAACATAGAAGTTTTGCTTCATTGTCTGAACCAAATCACCAGGGAACAATGACTGACTGTCCTCTGCTGTCTTTCTGAGTGCATAACAAGCACAGCTTGGTGATGAAACAGCCCCGAACAGGTGTACAGTCATCCAGTACTCTTCCACTTCTTGAGTCAGATCACCCTCAGGCCACCATAAGAAACGAAGGAAGGTTTTGTCTGTTTCTGCAACCTTGACCTGATAGAACATCTGCTGTATGTCTCCCATCAAAGCTACAGGCTCCTGTCTGAACCTTGTGAGCACTCCAAGCAGACTGCTTGTAAGGTTGGGACCCTGCAGAAGCTCGTTGTTCAGTGATCGCCCCTTAAACGTTGCTCCACAGTCGAATACCACCCGCAAAGTATTCTTCCTGGGATGATAAACGCCATGATGAGGGATATACCAAGCCCTTCCTTCTTTACAGTCAACCAGGTGCTGAGGTATTCTTTCTGCATAGCCTTTAGCAATGATGTCAGTGAAGAAACTTGTGTACTCCTGATGGAACTGCTCGTCCTTCTCAAACCTCCTCTTAAGTCCCAAGATCCTTTGCTTTGCCACAGACAGATTATTAGGAAGAGTAAGGTGCTTTTTCCTGAAGGGCATTTTCATGCTGTAGTGTCCATCCACAAGCTCCACTGAATTTTCCATGATGTCCATAAACCTCACATCCTCTCTTGACATTTGTTCATCATTCATTTTCCTGTCATTGAAGTCATGGTTGTACTGAGCGGTCAGCATTTCCTCCAGCTTATGCACGCCGATTCTGTTAGCCATGATTGAGGGAAGCTCCGCCTCCATGGTGCCGCTGTTTCCATTCAGTGGACCATTTACAGACATCCAAGAACCGTTCTAACAGCATATGGGCCATTCTCACTGCTATTAACAACCTCCCATGGCTCCAGAAGTCTGGGAGCATTGGCTCCAATCAGCAGATCGACGTTTGCTTCAATGCTTGGGATATGAACATTTGCCAAGTATGGCCACTTATCCAGCTCTTCCTGGCTCACTATGTCATCAGTAGTCACTGGCATCTCCTCTTGTGTAAGAACTTCTGGAAGCATGTAGAAATCACTGCTGTCAAGACCAGCTATCTCCAAACCCTTTAAGGAGTAACAATTTTCAATTGTTTCCTGCCCCATTGTGCGTAGCCGGAAACGAGTTCTTTTACCTGCAGCATTCAGTTTCTTCATCAGACGTTCAGAACAAAAGGTACCAGAGCTGCCTGGATCCAAGAATGCATAAGTTGTTTCAGTATGCTTTCCCCTTGAAGCTTTCACCTTTACAGGCAGGATAGATAAGGCACATTTGTCCTTACCGACCCCTGTATGCCCACATGTTGTGACTGTAGTAGGCTGTTTGCTGGACGTTACCTTTTCTTCTTCCAAAACTGCTTGTCTTTGTATGTGAAGCACTGTAGGGTGAGTTTGCCTACAAACTTTGCATAGCAGACGCTTCTTGCAGTCACGGCTTACATGGCCCACACATAAACATGCAAAACAGACTCCCTTTTCACGCAGAAATTGGATTTTCTCCTTATGCTTCTTTGCATTGAGCTCCTTACACACGTCCAATGTGTGTCCATGTCCACAACAGAGACATCCTGTTTCTACCATCTTTTTTGACTCTTCTGTTCTTTCAAGCATGTTTATGGGTGTTACTGTGGTGGCTGCCACACTCTCCTTTATTCTTTCCCTGGGCTGTGCTTTGAATCTGGATAGAGGTTTCAGTCCAGCTGCACCCAAACCAGGGTCCTGTATGTTGCCAAACAAGGGGTCTGAAAGAATTCTGACATGGCGTTCGATAAACATTACTAGGTCCTTGATGTGTGCTCTGTCACTTGTCCTTTCCATAATGTCGTGAGCTTTGGCTCTCCATTGATCTCTCATCTTGAATGGTAATTTGGACATAATGGTTCTCATGTTCACTGGCATGTCAAGCTCTTGTAAGTACTGTAGCTCCTCCATCGCATTGCAGCAACCACGCAAAAATAAGGAATAGGCTTGGAGAGCCTTCGCCTCCTCTGATTTAATTGACTGCCAAGCCAATGCCTTCTCCATGTAAGCCGTTGCAATTTTATACTGGTTGCCAAAATGCTCCTACAAAAGCCCTTTTGCCACTTCATAGCCACTCTCGGGATCCATATGTTGACAACTACGCACCAGCTCTTGTGGTTGACCTTTGGTGAACTGCTCCAGGTAGAAGAGACAATCTGCTTTACTCACTTTTCCTTCAACACCGTGTTCA